AACTTTATTCCGACCAAGATAATACCATTAGAGTATATCAGCTTTACCAAGAGTACTTTAATCTAAAGTAGGGTAACCAAAGCTTGGAGGAATACTATGCAAGCATGAAAATATATCCGTAATGAGCTAATGTATATCATCCTCTGACACCAGATGTTCATGTTCAGCAACATCAGTGATAGCAACTTGATGTGACAAGGGTTTGCCCGTCTGAAGGTTGAATATGGACCTGTTCGAGCACAAATACTGGGGGGGGGTCTACTCTCCCCTCTCTTTAAGTGTTTGCCCGTCTTTGGAGGATATCTATTGATTCTACAAAGTCTTCTCTCTCGGACAGATCTGGTTTTGTGGTGACTAGAGGGGGAGGTCGTGGAAATAGAGGTGGTGGAAGTGGTGGCTGTGGGTTTCTAGGAAACCGAGGTGGTCCTACGTTTAATCGATCTAGTGGTCACAGTGGAGGTCAAGAGTCAGGGGGAGGTCGTGGTAGAGGAAGAAGTAATGGGACTAGAAAATGCACATATTGTGGATTAAAGGGACATATTGTTAATTTTTGTTATGATTTACATGGTCCACCCAACACTTGGGCTAACCATGCTGTGACTAGTGGCAGTGGTACAGTTAATGAAAATCAACAGACTGATCAGACCCCCTCCACATCTACTGGTGCTTCTGGGCAGGAGATGGTGAGTGTACCACGTGAGGTATATGAGAAGTTCATTCAGACATCCTCTTAGCAGAATACAACTACTCTTGCTCATTCAGGTATGGCTTGCTTGGCTTCCAAACCCTCACACTAGATCATTGACTTTGGAGCCTCGGATCATGTGTCTAGGACTCCAAATGTGTTTTCTTCACTTTCTCAGTCTTCTACATCCCATGTAATTACCCTTGCTAACGGTTCTACCTCTCCCATTTGTGGTGTTGGTGATATTGATCTTACCTCCTTATCTTTATCCTCTGTTTTATATGTATCCAAGTTCCCTTTTAACATTATGTTTGTTAGTAGATTAACCAAGTCACTTAATTGTTCTATAACCTTTTATCCCTCTTCTTGTATGTTTCAGGATCTCAAGACGGGGATGAAGATTGGTGGAGGGCATGAGGCTGATGGTGGTGGCTCGCTAGTAGCCTTTTAGTCATCCCTTACTCCTCTCCAATGGTACTGCAGACTTGGTCATCCATCTCTCAAGGCTCTGAAGTTGTTTGTTCCATCTTTTCATCTTCAATTGTTGGATTGTGAGTTGTGTTAGCTTGGGAAACACTATAGAGTCTCTTTTAGTTCAAGAGTTGATAGTCGTTTCTTGAGTCCTTTTTCTTTAGTTCATTCAGATGTTCGGGGTCCAAATAAAGTGGTGTCGTACAATGGTTATAAGTATTTTGTAATTTTTGTTGATGATTTTTCAAGGATGACATGGCTCCATCTTACGAAAGATCGAAGTGAATTGTTCTCTATTTTTCAAAAATTTTATGTTGAAATACGTATCCAATTTGGAGTTCATATTAAAATTCTTCGCTCCGATAATGCAAAAGAGTACATCTCAACACCATTTCAGCAATACTTAGAGCACTATGGGACAATTCATCAAACTTCTTGTTCCTACACCCCACAGCAGAATGGTGTGTTCGGATGCATCTTCCTTGAATACTAAATGCATCTTCCTTGGATACTCCGAAACCCAAAAAGGGTATAAGTGCTATAACCCTAACTCTCATTGGTCCTTTGTGTGTTCGGATGTCACTTTCTTTGAGTTAGTCCCATTTTTCTCGAGTACTGAGGTTCCTTATCTTGTTTCTGTGGTTCCACTACTTCCTATTCTAGTTAAGGACCCCCTTCTTGTGGTTCTTGTTCCGGTTGCAAATCCCCTTCCCGTGGTTCCTGCTCCATCCCCTCCTTCTCCAGTGCAAGTTACTTCTGAGAGGCCACCAATCAAACAAGTGTATACTCACAGAAGAGCACCGACCCCTCCTCCAGTTTAGTCCTCGTTGACAGATCCTATGGTTGCACCTCCTCCTATTCCGGTTGCGAATCCCCTTCCCGTGGTTCCTGTTCCATCCCCTCCTTCTCTAGTGTAGGTTACTTTTGAGAGGCCACCAATCAAACAAGTGTATACTCACAGAAGAGCACCGACCCCTCCTCCAGTTCAGTCCTCGTTGACAGATCCTATGGTTGCACCTCCTCCTTCGGACCTTGATCTTCCTATTGCATTGCGGAAAGGTAAATGTAATTGTACATCTCATCCTATTTCTCATTATGTTTCAGTTGCTCACCTTTCTGCTTCTCATCGCCATTTTATATCCTTGCTATCCTCTGTTTTCACTCCCAAGACTGTCCAGGAAGCTCTTACCTCTCCAAGGTGGCGACAAGCAATGGAAGAAGAATTATCTTCTTTACAACACAATCACATGTGGGGACTTACTACTCTCCCTCTCGGTAAGCATGCTGTTGGGTGTAAGTGGGTCTACACAGTGAAGTATCTTCCAGGTGGTAGTGTGGAACGATTAAAGGCTAGGTTAGTGGCTAAGGGCTATTCTCAGTTGTATGGTGTTGACTATATAGAGACATTCTCTCTTGTGGCTAAAATTGGCTCAGTTCGGGTATTAATTTCATTAGTAGCAATGTATGATTGGCCTCTCTGGTGACTAGACATCAAGAATGCCTTCCTGCACGGTGATCTGATCGAGGAAGTATATATGGAGCAACCACACCAGGGTTTGTTGCTCAGGGGGGATGGTAAAGTTTGTAGATTTAAAAAGGCAATCTATGGGCTGAAACAATCTCCACGTGTGTGGTTTGGTAGATTCTATGAAGTAGTGAAGAACTTTGGGATGAAACAATGTCAAGTAGATCATTCTGTGTTCAGCCATGACTCAAAAGATGGGAAAATCTTCCTAGTGGTGTATGTGGACGATATTGTCATAACTGACAGTGACAACAATGGGATTGACAGATTGAAAAGCTTCCTATAGAATCACTTCCATTATAAAGGATCTTGGCAAGCTGAAATACTTCATGGAATAGAAGTCGCAAGGTCAAGGCATGGAATAAACTTGTGTCAAAGGAAATATGTCCTTGACCTACTTGAAGAAACATGGCTGTTAGGTGCCAAACCAGTCGAAAATTGGTGGATTTAGTTCATAAAATAAATGAAGATCATCCAAACAATGAAGGCTCCTAGGTCCAAGTGATGAGTACAAATTTAATCTTTGTTTGCATTTGAATATTTTCCTGTTTTGTTTATCTCAGCAGCATGCTGTTTACATTTCCTAAGATGCATCTCCTTTCTTTGTCGTTAGGTGTGTCTCTTATGTTTAGGGGTTTTCTCATTTCAATACTAGTAAAGGAAGCATTTGTTATGATCCAAAAAAGGAAAAGAAAAAAAATATTGTTGCGGAATGAATGCTAAATTCATGCAGCAACAGTTACAACACCAAACAGGAAGGTTAGTTTACCCAATATAAGTAGGGGTGTCAATTTTTCACCCAACCCACCCAGAATCTAACCCGCCCATTTACTTGGCGGGTTGTGTGATCAACCCATCACCGAATCCACCCATTTAAATGGGTTGGGTTGGGTTGGGTTGTGGATAACCGTTGGGTTACCATTACAAACATAAGTATTAATTCCTTAGCCTTTTTTTTTGTTTTCTTCATTTGAATTAAATAATTTATAATTAATGCATTAATTTTCTATTAATTGTTGACTAAATTTAGTGTCTTGAATCAACACACTTCACCCAACATAAATCCAAATCAATTTCACCCAAGTTCGGACCAGTTCAACACAATCTGACCCAATCCAACATATACCGATCCGGGTCAACTCGAATTCGAAATAGACCTCAAATGGGATGGCTCGGTATCGCTTGCTTTGCCCGATTTGGGTCGTCTGATCCAAACATTATTCACACAGTCCGGCCTGACCCGACACAAGGTGATTTGGGTCTGCCGAATCCGAATCGAGTCGGACCGGGTGAAGTCCGGACCCTAAACCACCCCACTTGCTTTACCCGGTTCGGATCATCCAGTTCGTACCCATACAACCCAACCCGAATCCAGCCCGGGTTAGCAATGCTTGCTGACCTAGATCCTTTGGAGTCTCTGACCTGGGACCAACCTGAATTCGGCTCCGTCCGGTCTGGCCCGATCGGTTGAGTCTGGTCCGACCTGTCCAAACCGGTTCGGTTGGGGTCTGGTTCGTCCGAACTGGTCCAGATCTAAACGGTTCAACCACTCTTGATGTGATTAGCTCAAAGACAATCCAATTAGATAGTTCAAGTTGGTCTGACCGTTTTGAAGCTAAGTGGTTCGTCAAATCCAAAACCCAAACATAGTTAAATGGCTTTGATGCTTGTGTAAAAATAATGCATGTGATGATATGAACCTTCACCACTTGTGTAAATAGCAACTACTATTACCACTAAGCTATGACCAACTTATTTGTTAGGATGGAGTTAGTTTTTTGTTTTAAGTACATAAATAGAAGATTAATGGGTTTGGGTGGGTTGGATTGGGTTAAAGCGGGTTTGGGTTGAACCCAACCCATTTAATTTTACATAATTGGGTCATTAACGGGTTGGCGGGTTAAATGGGTTGGGTTGAAACTCAACCCAAACCAAACCCAACCCAACCTGCCCAATTGCCACCACTAAATATAAAAAGAGGGTCTTCGAGTCATAAAACATTGTTGTCTGGTTGTGCCATTGTCCTATTATTGGTAATATGCATTTGTTCTAACAACCCCAAGGTGGGACCTGTATTGGTGTGAGTCCCCCATAGACATCATGAACCAGCAATTAAACGGCTATACTTGATGGTTGTTCCATTGTCCTTCTTTTATTGGTAATATGCATTTGTTCTAACAACCCCAAGGTGGGACCTGTATTGGTGTGAGTCCCCCATTGACATCATGAACCAGCAATTAAACGGCTATACTTGATGGCTTTGTAACATTCGTCTTCACTTTATTTAGTGTTTAACTGATGATGGATTTAATTGAACAGCTCACTCAGACATGAATGTGGTTACCATACTCATTGGAAACAAGTCTGATCTTAAAGACGCCAGGGAGGTAAAAACAGAAGAAGGCAAGGCTCTAGCAGAAGCACAGGGCTTATTTTTTATGGAAACATCTGCCCTTGATTCCTCCAATGTTACTGCTGCCTTTCGGACGGTTGTCAAAGAGATCTACAACATTTTAAGCCGCAAAGTTATCCTCTGTCAAGAGAAAAAAGCAGACACAGCATCACTGGGGAATGGGAAAGCTGTGGTTTTGCAGGATGATGCAAGCCAAGGAGCAGATGCCAACCCTAACAAGGCTGGATGCTGTTCATCTTGAAGCTAAACAGGATAGCTTTGATCATATTGCTTTATCTTACATTCTCTGCATACTCTTTGCCACAGATGCACCCATGTAATGAAATATGTTTAAATTCTTTTTGTTGGCAAAGTATTGATTTAGTTTATCATTTGCCTTTTCTTTTCGGGGTTAATGATGCCACTAATCAGGAAACAGAACTCCAGGAGTAGAACAATGTACATGAACTGAAGACAACACAGCAAGTTATGTATATGATGTTGGAAATTCTGACGATTAATGCCTGTGCATCTCTTTTTTGTTGGATCGTCTCTTGCCACTGTTTCTTTGTTGTGTGCATGTGTGTGTGTGGGTGGGGGGGGGGGGGGTGTATTTGGAGAACTAAGGTTCACTGTATTATTGGAAATGCAAAGCATAAAAGGCAATTTTAATAGGCCTTCTGTATAAGTGAGATATCAGGACATAATTAGTAATTATTAACAACTGATAAAAGAAATAAAATGTGTATTGATTTTCAAAAATTAATATAATTATTAATTTTATTTCTTAATATATAAAATTTTAATAATCAATTTTTAACATTAATCGGCAATCCAATAAAAATAAAATTTGCTTAAGAATATGTAGTAAGTGGCCTTATTGATATTATAAACTAACGAAAGTTAGACAAATTATGAAATTTAAACCTGCTGAAATTCACTTCAACATGGAGGCAAAGCATTGCCATTACTCTTTCTATTCCTTTATCGTTGTGTACAGTGTACTTTAATTTCCTTCACTCATTGAGACTTACCACTGAGCTGATCCCACCTAGATCGTGTAAACATAAATCAACTGGAACACATGATGACATCTATGAATTTTCTGTTAAAGTAAGATCTGTTGAGGAAGTAGAGGTTTGAACTTAAAAGATCATGATATCTTCGTCTCTCAGTTGCACGGTTGCACCGTTTGTATTTGGTCATTTACATGTGAACATATAAAATGTGTAAAATTATTGGTGCTAAAATGCACTCCCTCAACGACTCATGGCCCTCATATCTGGAATTACAGTTACTTGAGTGTTAGAACTCAGAAGTGAATCCCCATTTACTTGGGATGTATTTGGTTGCAGTAAAAATTTCATTTGCACTGGCATAAATGCATGGGAGTGCAAATAGGTTGATTGTAAATTCTTGTTTATTTATGCTCTATATACGATGTTATGGTGAAAATTTTGTATTATGCAAAATTTACACTGCTACTGAATGCAAAGGAGACGAAATTTTAAATTTTATATTAGGTATGAGTGCAAATCATAATTACAAACAAATAAATGTAACACAACTGGATGCAAATCTTGTATCTGGTTTAAATTTGCACTTCAACCAAACACAGCCTTAAGGAGTATTCTTCAACGTGCAAGAAATTGTTTTTGAAAAGATGTTTGCTGATGCGGTGGTTTTTGTTTTGAAAAAAAAATCATACATGTTGCCTTTAACTGTTTGCATGTAGGGATGATAAAGGGGCAGCTTCAGAGAAGGTATTGTAAATTCTAAATCCTATCCGTCTCCCTAACCCTCCGAATCCATGCCCACCTTAAAACTTGTAATGGGTTGAATTTTGAGAATATGCAAAACCCTCCCCGATCCTACCCACTTTGCATTCAAGGGTAGGGTGGGTTGGATTTACAACTCACATCTAATTTCTCTATTATTTCTTGTTCTATATAAATAATAAATAAGTAACATAACATGAACAAACAACAAAATTTAATGTAAAAAAGCACATAAGCTATCAATTATTCCTCACAGAAAATTCAAAATATTATTAAATTTAACACTAAATATGTAAAATTCAAATTCATATACTTTCCAAAAACATACAGATTGTGGAGGATCAGGTTTAGTCTAATACCATACCTTACCCATACCTGTATGCGTTACTAATTATGACTGACTACCCAATTAGTCACAATTAGTCCATCCTTCAAATAAAAAAACCCATTCCATTGTGCCAGGTATCCAGCAAATAGGGTAGACATTGCCATCCCTATTTGCATGGTTTAAACTATCAATATATATCGGTTGGTTCTGATGCAAATCAGTTTTAATGTTACAGATATGTCGAATGGGGTGAATGGCCAAAACTCAACATTATTTATGTATGTCATCCATATCCAAAGTATTGCTCAATATAGGCACAATATGGCCTTCTATTAGCAAGTATATATCCAATTATGTGTGTATTAGTCTACAGGTACGATATCAGTGCTGTATTGAAGGATACATGAACATCCCATAGAATAAGACTGAAAATTCGAATTTGATCAGTTTATAATTGGCAGTTACAAAACCGCTATACCATTGTGTTATTACTAATTTAACCAACAAGCCATTTTGACATCCTTGACCATTGAATTTTGAAGGTTGTGCACATTCACAACTGAAGAAATCGCCGTCTAACAAGGGGTGCTGTGGGGTGGGAGGCAAAATCTACTTTAGAAAGTGAATTTTTCACACCTTTCACCTTGATAATTACATCATATTATTATTATTTCCCAATAACAGATATATATTTATGGTGTTAAATGTTAAAAGTGCTTAGTTTGACACATTTGAATAGCCATAAGGCTTTTGATGAATTGTTAAGCACATGACATGGTATCACTGCCTACACACATCTCAAGTTCAAATTATAGAGAAGGTTATTTTGGGAGAAGGGATACTTTGAAACATGGTTTTTAAAACCGAACTGCTCAGGGGTCCGGTTACTGGTTTGAACGGCCTGACTGTTTGACTCGAACGGTCGGCCCGTTTTGACAAAAAAAATTAAAAAAATTAAAAAAAATTGAAAAACAGTCAAAACAGTTTGAATGGTTTGAACAGTTAACCGGCCGGTTCAGCGGTTTATTGACCAAAATCAATGGTTTTGGGGAAAAAAGCATTTTGGGGGAAAACGGAACCGGTCAGGTGACCAGTTTCTGGTTTTTCCGGTCCGGTCAGGTTTTGAAAACCATGCTTTGAAATCTATCATGGAAAGGGCTATTTGTGTTGATCTTATGTGTTTTGATTATAATAAACTCATTGAGAGTACTAATAGTGTATCTAAGTGTACAATAATTCTTTAGTAAATTTATCTACAGTAAAATAGTATTAAAGTTTGAATGCTACAAAATATAAAAGATGAAGTGGAAGCTCTAATAAGTTGGTTGCTTGTGTTTCAAAGAGCATCTACACCATCATCATCATCATCATCTCTCTAATTGAGGAAGCTCCAAACAATTCAGGCATCAAGGTTATTAAAGAACTTAATGGTTTTAAAGCTGCTCAAAGACATCTCATCAAGGACAAGACTATATCAAGTTATATTCAAATTGATCTTATGCAATCAATTACATGAAGGATTCTATAGATGCTCTACAAGATTAAACTCAATTAACCAACCTTAGAAACCATATGCTTTAATGGGTATGGTTTCTAAGTTTTCTTTAGCTTAAATAAGAGTTAAAAAGTATAGGAAAACACTTATTGAAAGCCAATGGAAGAGTTTCCAAACCTTAAACAAAAATCTTCAAGGTTTGGTGTTGGGCTGCCTATCAAGCAAGTTTATCATGACTATGAAGAATAGTTGACTACCACAGAAAGATGAAGTGACTAATTGTGATAGTCGATGAATGAAATTCCAAGTCCATAAAGAGCAGTCGGTTACCCTAAAAAGATGTGTCAACTAATTGTGACAACTGAGGCATGCACAAAATGCTCAATTTGAGAAGATGAATTGATTGTCCCAGACAAACTAAGTTCAAATCTTATCAGTCAGTTGATAAGGAGGAACCAATCAACCAAGAGAGAAAAAGGATTCTTCCCTTCGTCAAGTGGTCGATTAATAAAATTGATAGTCAACTACTTGAAAGAAATTTAACCATTTAAAGGTTCTAATGGCTACCTGTCGTCTTTGGGAAGCCTTTTAATATGTTGGAGGAAATTTGAATCATTACCAAAGAAAGAAAAATTCCTCAACAATTAGAAAACAATCACTTAAATCTTCTATAAATTATATAAAAAAAATAGAGTTTAGCTTGACTTAAAAAATAAGGAAGGAGAAGCAAGAAATTTGAATATTGTAAAAACAAATGCATTCCTTATACATATTGTATATAGTTGTTCTTTAAGAGAGAGCAAGTTAACGTAGGGTTATTTTGTTGAGAAGATCCTTGAGCTTCAATAGTGTTAGGGGTAAGCAAAGCTAAGAAGCCATTAATAAGCTTATACAGTCTCATCCATCTATTGGGATTCTTTTAATTAAGATGAGTATACGTAAGTACCCTAACAACTGAGATAGTTTGAGCATGTATTGCATACATTTGCCAATTAAGAAGTTTCTCTTGCTTGTAAACCTACTCCAGTGCTAAAGAAAGAATATTTGAACAGGTTTAGTGTTTAGCTTGTTAAACACCATTAAGATCTTGATGGCACCTTTGTTAAGGCCAACTACAAGTAATTGAAATTACAAATAAAAGGGGAAATTCAAGTAACCAGGTTTTAATGTTAGGATTCTAAACCAAAGGAAAGGTTAAAAGTCTTAGATTCCAAAGGAAACAAAGATCCAGGTTCGAATATTCCATAAATATGACCATCCTCGTAGAAAAAACATCCCAAGTAATAGGAAGTCTCAATGGCTAGCCACCCAAGAATCAGAGTATCATGTCCTATGGTGCAAGAATCTGTCGTTTTAACAAAAATTAATGAGCAGGAAAGGTGGTTTATGTACTGTCCCATTGTAAATTTCAATAGGAAATGTGAGTTTTGGTGATGAATAGATGAACTCCACTGGTGTCCATGCAGAATTGGAGCTTGTAGGATATGAGAATCCAAGCTCAGGAACACATATGGGAAGGTGTTTCTGGCAATGCCCTAGAGCAAGGTTTAAAGGAGGATGTGGCTACTTTTGCTGGACCCCTAATCCAGAAAGGATTCATCTAAGCTTTTGATGCCTTCGTTTAATCAGAGAATCATCTTGTCAACCACAAGTAGTGGAAAACAATGAAGAACTACTTCATTCTAAGAAAGAATATAGAGAAAACCACTGCCTTCCCAACCCTTGAAGGTCTCTATCCTAAGTGGGGTAGCTACAGTCAGGAGGATAACAATCCAGAAATATGTGACAGAGTCTGTTACGTAGCTTATGCATTAAAGGATCAGATTTCTTTTAGAAAGTCTGTTGTAAATCGTGTAAGTTTCAGTCATCTATCATCCACACAAATCAATCACTACTGGAATACTAGTCGGCTAGGTAGAATTTATGGCGTTTGTTTTTTTGGATTTTGAGAGGGGGGAAAGTTGGTCAATGGGATTTTGGTTTCCATTGACCAAGATTCCCATTTTTTTTTCGGATTTATGTGGGGATCAGGGAAAGTTTATTTTCCTGAGTACCACTTACCCGGGTAAGTAATACCCATCTCCTAGGTGGGTAAATAACTTTCCCACCTAGGGGTAAAATTGCCAACACTTGAATGGGATAAAAATGCCCTTTTTAATAATGGATTTGTATGGCTAAAATGGTCATTGCCTTATTTACATGACAAATAAAAGAGCATGGGTAAATACATTTACCCGGGTAAGTATTTGTCAGGAAAAACTTACCCAGATAACTGCATTTATCCGAATAAATAACTTACCGAAAAACGAACAGGACCTATATGAAAAATTGAGATAAATGATGTAAAACACAAAATACCTAAACCCTTACAAGTAAGTATTGTCTGTTTGTGTGGTCAAGGAGAATGTGTCTATTCAGTGCCAAAATGGAAAGCCAGAAAATCATGAAAGATGGTAACTTCGCCTACCCTTTCTATTGTGATAATAACATTGGTTGTGGATTATTTCTCTGCAAGGACGAATTGAAAGTATGTCCTTATGGAAAGGGAGTGTGCAGAGTCAGAGCATCTAAGTAGAAGAGGTCAAAAGGCAAAAAGGTTTTGGATCTTTGCAAAACCTATCAAAGAAGACGGATGCAACTTCTTTGCATGGATACCCAATTCTCATGAAAAAAGGATGGCACTGAGAATCAGTCTTAGTAGGCTCAGCCTCAACAATGATATCTCCACCACACTACCAATTGCATCAAACCAAAATGAGGAGTTTGATGAAGAGTTTCTTCTTACATTAGAAACTGAGGTTGATGGATAGCCTAGTGATGACAGTGATCGTGAGCCATACAAGTGGAAGCTTTCCAGACCCTAGAGACATGATCATCAAAAAGAAATCAGGATAATAAAATTAGGGATTATCTGATAGAAGAGGTGATGCACAAGTCTTTGAATGTTGATTAGAAAACTTATTATTAATCTGATCCACATTTTATAATCCCCTCTATGTTTCTTGTTCTATCTTGATTGATTTGTTCTACTCAAAAAGATTATGGACAATTATTATTAGTTGTATTTTTTATTAGCTATGGTATTTGTTTAGTTATTTAATTTATTTTTACTAAAAGCAAATGCAAATCAATTTTGTAGTGACTAATATACAAAAATAAATGCTGAAAATAATGAAAATTATTGAAAAATACTCATATGCAAAAATTACTAAATAATAATAAAGAACACCAAAATTTAATTAAAAATCCGAAAATTCTGAAAAACCTAAAGCTTAATTAAAATACTAAAAATAATTAAAAAAATTAAATCAATTGTATTTTATTGCAAAAATTACTGAATAATAATGAAAAAAATAATGTGTTTTAACTATTAATAAAAATATAATTAACAATAATTATTTTTAAACTGTAATTAACAGTAATTATAGTTTAAGTTATAAACAATAGAAAATTACATTTAATTACCAAAAAATTACATTTAGTTAGTTTTAGCCAAGAAATTTGCAATATTTCTGAAAATATGATAATTTCCAAAAATTATTGTATTTTAAATAAATACGGTAATTTAATAATTAATAAAAAGTAACAAATCATTTATAACTTAAGCAACTATTAGATCTATAAATTTGCAGGCTCAAACAACTATTTTCTTTTGAATTAGGTCTAGCTAATATATGCACCATGCCCACACATTATCTGGGATAATCATATTCGATGTCTAATTGGGTAACAAACTTTTGGAGTCCAATAATGGCTTTAGCAGATAGGGCTCAAGTTAAATAACCCCTAATAAGTTCAACTTGAAAGTTATATATGCATATATGATAAATATTATTATATAATATTTAAATAACAAATTTTATATTAATATATATATATAGAAATGCTATATATTTTTTTATACTAGACCATAATTAAATAAAAATTTTAATAGCCTCTTTATCAACAGAAAATGTGCAACCCCAAGCACGAGGATTCCCCATCCTTGATGAGGAGTGGGGTGCCTTGCCCCTAAATTCGCCTGATATTGGGGAATGGTTGCCTTGCCCTGAACCTGCTTGACACTAGGGACGAGGTGGGGATGGAGTAGAGTGTCTTGACTATGGAGCAAGGACAAGGATGGGGTGCCCCGCCCTGAACCCACCCCGTTGTCATTCCTATATAATTGTTAATTAATAGTGAAATTAATAAAAATGTTAACTTTTGTAATTATTTTTATTTATTTAAAGTTAATCAAATTTTCATTTAAAAATAATAAAAAGAATAACAATTATTAAAATTACTACAAATTATTAATAAAACTAAATTTATTAAAAAATATTTATTCATATTAAATTAACAATAATTAGTTTCTATAAATCAACATTAAATGAAAAATACAACTATTAAAATTTTAAATATTAATAATAACTTTGAATACTTTTAGTTAATTAACAACAAAATTTGATTATTAATTAATAGAAATAAAATTATTAAATCTTTCAAATTTCCCGTGCATCACACGGGTCCAAGCTAGTATGCCTTGAAAGGTTTTTGTTAGCTTCTCTGGGTGCTTCCTGATTGACCTTAACCACAACTAGAGCTCCATTTTCAAGGATTTCTATTCACCTTCACTTAATTTTTTTCTTAAAATTATCAGTAATTTTACTCAATCGATGAGACTAACATTTTTCTGGTTTCTATTCAACAAGACAATAACGTCAACCAAAAGTGTCAGTTGTAATAGGCTTCATCTCCTTGTCTGGGTAGACTGAAGAATCATTTTGTTTACTTACCAAGAAGAAGTAAGAAGAACCATTTAGTCAATCAAGGCAAATGGGCTAGGATGTTAAGAGAAACCACGATTCTTCAGAACAGTATCCCTAAATTGATGAAGGAATGTCGTTCAGGAGTGGTTCTTTACGTACCATCTGCCATTTTGCATTATACACTACAAAACTTTTCTGGTTAATTGGATGGGATCCAAAAGGGTGGCAGACAACTTTGGTACCTCAAGTTCAGTGTCAACTTGGATCATTTATTTCAAAGGAACACTTTTAACTAGTTATGCAACTAATCGTTCATGATGCCTAGATCAACATCTCATCAACTCGGATCATATATCAAAGGGTAGAAAAAACCAATATAAACCTAATAAAAAATGTTTGTTTAATCTGCCATAATTGAACCTCAACAAAAATTCAGTCCAAGGTTCTAGTTATGCAAATAGTTCGTTTCAAATTCCTCTGAATCCAAATTGGAGGGAAGGAAAATTAGAAGAAAAAAAAGAGTAACTAGCACTGAACCACCTATAAAAGTATTTGTTTAATCAATAAGATTGTAAAACATTTATATTGAATAGTTATAATGTTACAACATATTGTTGTGATAAAATACTAAAGTTGTGTTTGATTTCTATAGACCTATTCATGAGGAGAAATGAAAGAAACTATGCAGGGAACATTAAACAACTATCGTCAGTTACTTATCCAATGCAGGAAAAGCTGATCATGGAGCATATGATCTTAAAATTAAAATGGACTTCCACTAGATGGCTCAAAAACTCGCCTCCTCAGTGGTTGGCCGTCTCAAGTAATACCGCAAGCTATTGGCAAGAACCTGTGCAGTTCATTTGAAATTAATTTATATTATACATTGATATGCTATTGATGAGCACGTAAGGAACTTCCTAGCTATTACCTGTTGGAGGGGCTTGATGATGGCTTTGCCCTTGTAGCTGACATAAAACTTTGCTTTGGCCAAGAGCCCCTAAATGCAAAAGAACTAAGGGTAAGATCCTGGTGCACAGTCTCAAACTAATAATGCATATGCAAAAGAAAGGCAAACGGATTTTAATTTTCTTATACTATGCTGTTATTAGTATTACTACCTCAGTGTCAAATTCTCCAGATTCAACTGAAATATTTATGTCTGTAATAATTTTGACAAGATCAACCAGTAATCCGGGGCGATCAGCAGCTTCCACATAAAGCATGCTGCAGGCAAGGATAACAATTTACATCAACCTCCATGTTTTCTGAGCTCTGTATCTTGCATATAAAACTTGATCAGTGAGACTCATTTAATAATCTTCAAGGCTAAAGGTGAAAAGCTCTAGCTTTCACTTTGTAAGTCAAGCTAAAAGTGGATGAACTGCTTTACACAAAGGACTAATTAGATGTCTGGCTAAGATAAAATTTACTGGGACAGCCTGGTCTTCTAGGTTTAATTCATATTTGTGATCATTCGGGGGATAAGTCCAGCCCAACCCAGCCTATTGAGAGAGGAAATGTAACATCTATACCTCCTATTTGGACCATCATCATAGACATTTATGTGAGTCGCAATATCCACATCAACCTGAATAAAGCAAAAACTAAGATTCAGATACCTGTAAACAGAAAAAACAAAATAAAAGAAAAACAAAATGAAAGAAGATTGAGAAGCCATGCACACAATATATTCAAAGTTACATAAAGACCGGAGAAATAGCAAGACGCATTCAACATAGAGCAGACTTGCAGTCTAGTTGTGGACTACCACCATATGGTATAAGCCTACTACGTTCCCTAAAAACAAAGTTCACTTTGATGAGATGATAATCCTAACTATCCAGTCTATATATCATCTGTACAGTAAAAATAATGATGGCTATAGAAAAAGAAAAGGTTAATTCTTACAATTCATATTGTTATGATTTCCAATACTTTCAATTAAGATGTGTGTGTTAGTGTAAGTTAGACCTACATATTGTTATTGTGAATGGTAATACGGTATAAACCTATTATGTTCCCTAAAAACAAAGTTCACTCTATTGAGATGAAAATAACTATCCAGTCTATTTGTCATCTTTACAATAACAATAATGGTAGCAACATAGGGAAAGGTTAAGTCTTATACATCATATTGACAATCTCCATATTGCAATACTTTCAATTAAGATGCATATGTTAGTACAAGTTAGACCTACATAATGTTATTGTGAATGGTAAAGTCTGTATCTTAACAAAAGGGATAATATGAAGTCGAAATAAACTTTCCTTTTGCTAACAAAACACATAAAATTTACTATCTGCAGTAACGTTCTTGTGATCATAAAATGTCATAATGCATGTTCTCAAGCACCATTTCCCAACGCCCAAGGTCATGTGATCATCTAGCAGAACTAGCAGTACCAATGACATATCCAGTTTCAGAGGGATACAGATCCAAAATTAGCATCTTATCAAAATCTGAGTAGACTTCAGATTCATATATTTAACCAAATTTGTTGAGACACAAACACTCCTTCCAGAACCCACTAGGGGAGTAGAGCAGGCCACCACCCATCAGCCATTCACAAGGAGACAGAGAAGACAGGCGACAGAGCCYCAGAATTAGTTRCACTCARAGTTGGTTACTCTGCCGCCAGAGGATATTCCATCCATGTTATCTGCCAGAGTTAGTTACCCAGAAATCAGAGGATATTCCCTCTGATATTACACCTGTAGGCCAGCTATA